TGGCCTCTGAGACATGCTCTAGTTTTAACCCCTTCTGGGAATTGGCTCTCTTCTTCAAAGGACCAGGTCCTGTTCCTCTTTCTCCTCCTCCTCCCTCCCAAACCCCCCCCCCCCACCCCAGCTCCCTGCGAAGAGAGAGTTAATATATATATATTTTTATTTATTTGCTTTTTTTTTTTGGTGTGTGCTGGGATGGGTTTGTGTCCGGTCCCAGGGGGTCTGATGTGGCTGTTACAGGTTGGGTGTGTACCCAGCAGTCCTGGCACGGGGCCCGAGGCCCTTCCCCTCGCTCCAGGCTGTCACCTCCCTGCCCCTCCTCCCGATCCTCAGTTTTGCCAACTGCTACTCACGTGAGTCACCGTTTACGCTAAGCATGTAATCCAGACTCGTCATGGACTTGCCTCTGGAGCAGGTGAAAAAGCTCCCGTTTCCCATGTGTAAGGCTGGTCTCTGGCTTTCCCGCCCCGGTTTCTCCCCTCTCCCCTCAGAAATTCCCGCAAAGGGTTCAACATGTCACTGGTTTTCACTACTGATGACTTGACTTAAAAAAATACAAAGATGCTGGATGCTAACTTGACATTAACCATCAGATTGTACAGTTTGTTACTGTAAATATTGTAGGGTTTTGTGATTGTTTTTTTGTGTTTTTTTTTCCATTTTCCCATACTACTGAATAAACTAGTTCTGTGCGGGTTGAGCACTGTCATTATTGCTTCGGTGTGATGCTCATCCTTCTGGCCTTTAAGAATAAGAGCAGGCAGGACCAGGAGGTCAGGAATCGGATAACAAGTGGCTGGGGTGAGCTAGATTAGCTACCCATGTCCCATCATGCTCTCCAAATAGCCTCATCATCACAAAACTCATGTCCCGGCATTCCCAAGGAGGATGTGGCGGGAAAGTACCATTTTCTCGAGAAGGGACTTTTGTAGCTAGAGAGGAGGCTGCACCCAGCGGGCAGGCTTCCAGCCCAACCCCCACCCCCAGGGCTGCATCCTGTGGGCAGAATTCAGGAGGCAGGGAGGGTGGTGGGAATTTCCAGGTGCTTAGTGACTGAGTACCTCCTAATGCTGCTTCTCTGGGCCATTTTGTGTGTATATTTCCCAATGGGAATGAAGCAGCTACTCACACTTCAAGCCAACTATGTCCTCTGCCAACATGTCTTCTGTCTCCAACTTTGTGTTTTTTAGAGGTTTAACAAACTAGGTAGGGGGCAATTAAGGGTAGTGATCAAGAACACAATCCTAGGCCCTGATGGGGTAGCTCCCTTGGTTAGAGCATTGCCTGATATGCCAAGATTGTAGGTTCGACCCCCGGTCAGAGCACATACAAGAAGCAACTAATGAATGCATGGATACAACAGATCAGTGTTTCTCTCCTTTCTCTCAAGTCAATAAATAAAATAAAAAAAAATTTTTTTTTAAAGAACACAAACCTAAGAACTGAATTGAGTGACTTCATCTCTCAGCCTTAGTTTCTCTGCCTGCAAAATGAGGATGATAATCACCTTTGCCTAGTTGAGCTTTTATGAGAATTAAATGAGTTAACATAAAGTGCTTAGAACAGTTCCCAGTGCATAGCAAGAGGCCCATAAACGGTTTCCCTTGTTACCACTGGGTGGGGGCAGGGGTGGATGCACAGAGAAAAATAGAAAGTCAGACCAAAGGGGAGGAAGTAAGCAGGTAGCTGACCAAGGACTGCTGTGGCAGGCAGGCCTCCTCCCTAGTTGGCACTGCCTACTGCATGTTGTTCAAGTTTGGAGGGAGTGGGGGTGTGGGTGGGTATAAAACTCAGAACTGACCAAGAGGGCCAGAGGAGCATGCTGTGTCCTCTCTGACCACCAGGTGGCAACAGCACATGGGTTTGCTGCTGCTTTTGCTTCTGAGAACCCACCATGGCTGGCCCACACCCTGGTCACGCCTGCCCTTTGCTGTCCACAAGTACACCTATGTGTGGGCCTAGGCTTGCAATCTTCCAGTGCTTTCGTCAGAGCAGGTAGTGAGGAACACACCCTGCTTACACCCTGCGGGACCCAGCTGGGAAACACACGTGGTGTTCCGGCCTTGACCAAATTTCCCCAGAGTCAAAGGCTCAGCGTGTCTCCACGTCTCCTCCCCCAACTCAATTCTGGGAATCCTAGAGTTGCAAGAGTTGTTGCAAGAGGCTGAGGGAAAGGTGAATGTCTGGACAGCTGTCACTGTGACAGAGGTCAATGTGTGAAAAGAGCCTGAAGACCAGCCATAAAAAAGGAGAAGCAAGCAGCGGAGGGCCCCTGGCCTGGGAACAGAAAAAGGGCATTTCAACACCTCAGTTGGGCACTTAATGTGCATATAAGCTTGGGTGGGGTGGGCACCAGGTGGCATCCACTTCCTTCACCCAATTGCTTGTTGCTTCAAGTCATGGCCTAGCCTTCAAGAAGGGGCATTCTCTCAAAACTCACAAGGAATGGAGTTGCTTCTGGTTGCAAAATCAAAGGCTGTGAGAAGAGGGAGACTATTAAATCTGCTACAAATGAGTCTTTGTCCTTTATGGAACTACTGCCCCTCTTGCTCTCAGATATCTTTTTCAGTAAAGGAATGAAATTCTCCGCCACAGACAACTCACAACACTGGGGGCTGTAGGGGCTTATACATTCTTGTGCCAGCCCTGGAGTCTCGTAGAGATAAGAGGAGACCAACAATCCTAATGAAGTAAAGGAGGTCGTGAAGTGTCCCTGGTATCTGCTGCCTGAGCAGGCAGGGAGGCTGAAGACTCCTAAGTGCCCCTCAATCCCTAAGTACAGCAGACAAGATTCTGCTCCATTCTCTTGCCGTGAAGGGACTCCCAAGTCTAACATATAAATACTTGCCCTAGCTGGTTTGGCTCAGTGGACAGAGTGTCAGCCTGTGGACTGAAGGGTCCCTGGTTCGATTCCGGACAAGGGCACGTGCCTGAGTTGTGGGCTCAATCCCCAGTGGAAAGTGTGCAGGAGGACATCAATTCTCATCATTGATGTTTCTCTCTCTCCTCTTCTTTCTTCTTGAAATCAATACAAATATATTTAAAATATAAGTACTTTACCAAGACCCTGACTTGACAGCCTCACACACTGTGAGTTAAGCTATACTTAACTTGACCGGGACCTTTTAATAACATTCAAACCCTGGGAAAAGGCAGCCTGCTCCCATCTAATACCACAAGGGGGTAGTTCCAGCCCCATTCGCTGGAAGCTCGAGGCCCTGGGGCCTATTCAGGCTCCTCCGCCTGGGAAGTCCATCCTGGCTCCCTCTTTGGAATCACACAGGCGTTCACTCCATGTGTTAGGAACCGCAGCAGGATTTGCTTTCACACATGCAGAGAATATAAAAATACACTCACTTTATTTTAGAAAAGTATAGACCAAAGGAATCGGCTTATAAACTCGCCTGTTACAATTCACAGGAAGCACGTTCTGGAGGCCAGGTGCCTGCCTCTGCTTTGCCACAGGCCGGAGTCCAGTAGGGGATGTGCTTCAGGAGGGCTGCTCCCGGGAGAGCAGGGAGGTCAGCTACAGAGGCCACTCCCATGTAAATGCCCATGACCCTCGGCCTGGGGATGGACACAGAGTCGGGGGGGGGGAGGGGTGGATGAGGACAACCCACTCCCCTGCATTTCTCATCTGTGCGTTCATTTCACTGCTGGGAGGGGACCTCTTTTCCCTCACATTCCAATCCGGAGAGTCTGAATCCCTCCAGCTCAACCCTAAGCCACCCCATCTCCCTGGGGCACCAGTCCCGGTGCCATCTCCTCCTCTCGCCCCTGAGCCAGGATCTGCAGGAGTCCGGAAGGGCTTAGGAGGCTGGAGAGAAGTGAGTCCAGGCAGCGACGGTAATGGTTGGTGACTGAATTCTTGCTTGCTGTCCTGATCTCTTTACCTAAAGAGACAGAAGGAAGGTTTGATTCTGGTCAAGGGCATGTACCTTGGTTGGGGGCACAGACCCAGTGGGGAGTGTGTAGGAGGCAGCTGATCAATGTTTCTAACTCTCTATCCCTCTCCCTTCCTCTCTGTAAAAAAAATAAAAAATAAAAAATAAATAAAAAACAAAGAGCCCGAAGAAGGAAGTGCTTGAAGCCCTTCTTCCTCCAGCCCATGTCACCCAGCTGAGTTCAAGTTTCTCAGGAAGAAATGGGGCACCCTAACTTCCAGGCTCCCCACCTCTCCCCCATCTTGCCCCACAGGATTCAGGGCTGATATGCCCAACAGCCCAGAAGACAGGGGAGAGGGAAGAGAGCACCGTACCCAGGCTTACCTGGTAGGTCCTGGGGCTGCCGCTTTCCTGGGGGGCTGCAGATGGCTGCGCGTGGTGCCAGGAGGATGCGGTCGCTGGGCAACAGGACCTGGATGGGGGCCCACAGAAGAAATGGGTTATGAAAGGTCAAGCGACCGCCTCACCAAGATAAATACTGGATGAAGGCGGGTGCGTGTGGCGGCAGTGCTTTCCTGCTCACCCAAGGTACACGTATTGGGAAGGTATTGGAGAGCCAGGCTCAAACGCTTGGTCCAGCCCCACATCCTCTCCATAACTCACCATCTTCAAACTGAGTTGTAAAGAAGATGGAGAAAGTGGTCCTTGTCACTAGCTCAGGGAGAGTGCAGTCAAGCTGGGCGTGGGTAGGCAATCTGACTCCTAACTCCCTGTCCTACGTCCATTCTTCCTTACCTCTGTGCCCGGCAGCACCGGGTCTTGGAAGTCCTTTCCGAGTTGACGTTGAATCTAGGGCGCCTCTGCCGGGGGGGACACTCCGGCTGCTGAGCGGCACTCGGCTGACAGGCTTGGGGATGGCTGAGGGGACAGGCAGTCGGCTGGAAGGTTTAGCAGCTGCTCCCTGCGGCCGAGACAGGCGCTGACAGTTGCTGGTAGGAGGTTGTGGGGCCAAGACAGGTCTGGCGGGAACAGGCGGGCCTGGGGCAGAGGAATTTTGGGGTAAGCTCCACATCCTCCCTCTTCCTGTTCACCCCCAGCTTTGCTGCCTGGGTCCTCTCACTTGCAGTTGCTCTCCCACTGGGCCCAGCTTTCCCCCGGCTTGGAGGCGTCGATCGGGCTGGAGGAGTCGATCGGGTTGGAGGTGTCGATCGGGTTGGAGTTGATCGGGTTGGAGGTATCGATCGGGTTGGAGGCGTTGATCGGGTTGGAGGCGTCGATCGGGTTGGAGTTGATCGGGTTGGAGGAGTCGATCGGACAAGAGGAGAGGATGCTGGGCTTTTGGATGTGGGGAACAGATTGCAAGTGGGCGACTCCTGAAACACACACACAGAGAGAGAGAAAAATAAAGAGCTAAAATGGAAAAAGAATCTGTTCTGCTGGCTGAGGGATAGAGGCGGAGAGTTGCCTAGATCCCAGTGAGGAAGGGCAGCAGCTAGCTGCCAACTTCATCGTCACCACCAACACCATTTATTGAGAGCTTACTGGTGGTATAGACGTTACAGAGCTCTGCACAGACACAGCGGAAGGGGCATGGCTTATGGAATTTCATTTAACCCCCACAATCCTGTGAGGCAGAATCTCACTCTCCCCATTTTACCAACAAGGAACTACTGTCCTGTGTCCGGGGCCACACATCCAACCCAGAGCCGCTAGACTCACCCTCTTCCCGCTGGGGGGCTTCTTCCCAGATGTTGCCCGAAGAGCCCTGACAGACCCCTTCCTGTCGCTGCTCCGGAGTCGGGGTGTCAGGCTGTTTGGAGAGGGGGTGCTCCGCGCGGTAGAGCCCACAGTGGGCAGCAGGTCTCGGACAGGACTGTCCTTCAGCACGAAGGTCTCCCTCCGAGGGCTGGGCTTCACCCTGCGCGGCCCCGGGCTCTCGCCCGCCCTCTCGCGCTCCCGCAGGGCGCACTGCTCCAGCTGCGCCGCCAGCCTGTTGGCCTCGTCCAGGACCTCCTCCATCTTGGCGGGGCTGAGGCGGCCTAAGCTGAACCTCACACCCTGGGGGGTGGGGGCCCCTGCATTCAGGTCGCCCCGGTGGGAGAGGCCCCGGCGAACGGGTTTCTCTGGAGTTGCCAACACCGGTAGGTCTTCCTCCTCACGACTGAGACAGAAAACACACCGGTGTCCACACGGAAGAGAGCAGGAGACACAACCCCAAACCCCAATGCCCAGGCTGGCCTCCAGGTGACGAGAAACCTGCTTCCATGAAGCCCGATAGGCCGTTAGCATTTACTGGCACTGGAGATTAGGTGGGGATGAAGATGCAGCTAATCCACTTACCATTCTTTTTTTTTATTTTTATTTTACTGATTAAGGTAATACATGTGTTCCCACAAGCTCCACAGCCCCCGTTCACGCCTCACCCCCCTGTCTGTATCCTTTGGTTAGGCTTATATGCATGCATACAAGTCCTTTGATTGATCTCTCCCCCCGCGTACCATTTGTAACACCCTGCAATCTCATTCCAGCTTCTCCCTTCTCTCCTTGCCCAGTAATGGTTATCTTAGGGGCGCAAGCAAATCAGCCACCAGTCACCCCAGTGCATCCCAATTTGCTAAATTATCAGCCCAAGCCTCAGAGGCCAAAACTTCAGCAGTAAGGGGTTAGAGACAGAGGCATCGCTGGAGGAAAGTAAGAAGCAGAAAGAGGCTCCTACCTGTCCGATGGTGACAGCCCTCCAAAGTCCAAGGTCTCATCCACTATAAACTTCACATCTGTAGGGGAGGGAGGAAGGAATGCCCGTTGTGGGTCCCTAAGGTGCTCTCAATTGCAGGGACTCAACCCTCCCTTGAGGATTTCCTTACCTTCCTGCAAATCGCCCATGTTCCAGCCAGCAGGAGCAGGACTCAGCTTGGACCTGAACTGGAGACAAAGCATACCTTTCCTCGGGTCTCCATGCTGTCCAAGGCTCCCAGCTAGACTCGGAGCGCAAGCCAGGGGTCACGCTGCAGTCAAGCAAGCGCCCTAGGAGTAGCGCCGGCTCCGGTTCACTGCCGTTACCTCCGGGGACGGTGCGGAGAGCTCCCCCTACACCCTTATCGCCCGCCGCAGACTGCCCTCCCGCCCCCCTGCGAGCCCGCCTCTCCGCATTGGGGGCGCTCTACGCGCCCCATATTCCCCCCATCCTCTCCCCAAGCCACCTTCCCACTCCTCCCGGGAGCACACCTCCAGCCTACCGCGAGTTTTCACTTCCCGCCCCGCCGCATCTCCCTCTCGCGGACAGAGCTTTCCTCCCACAACTTCGTCCCGGGAATCTGCTCCGCGGGGGCGGGGCTCCTTTCGAATCTCTCAGGCCCCACCCACTCCGGCCACACGCGCGCGGTGATTGGCGGGTCCCGGCGTCCTCAGCCCTCGGGGGGCGGGGCGGCGGCGGGCAGCTGGCCGGAAGTCTGCCCGTGGGGGCGGGCTGGAGAGCGGTTCCGAGAAAGACTGCATCCGGGGGTCTGCCGCGGGGGCGCCGGGGGCGCGCGCGCGTGCGCCGGGGGTCTCCCGCGACGAGGACTGTAGGGTTTGGTCCCGGTCGCCCCCTCTTTTCCGTCTCCTCGTTTTGCTTGGAGGAGCCCGGGTTGTGGCTCCGGGACCCCCGCGGTCACCTGCCGCCCCTCGCGGCTGCGGGCCCTGGAACGAACGCTCCGCCTGAGGAAATCCGTTTCCGTGGGCTCCCGCCTCGTGCCCGCGCCGCTTTTGCCAGATTGCCTCATGGGTGACTTTCCTGGTACAGAAACACCTAAACATGCGCAAGTTAGGTATGTTGAGGTTGTCTGAGGAGGACAAGACAGCTCCCACGGCTTTTGAAGCAGAATGTTCAGAACCCGAGGCAGCCAAGGTGTGAAGACAGCAACGGCCAGGTGGCAGTTACAGGATAGCCACCGCGTGTGAACTGCAGCACAGGGAGCGAGGCCGTGGTATAGCTATGCAGGGGGCCAGGTGGGACTAGACTTAGGGGGCGCTCACCTCATCTATAGATACAGAAAAGCTTAAGAGACAATTCCGACCCAACGACCCGTCGCTGTGATGCGCACTGACCACTAGGGGGCAGAAGCTCAACACAGGAGCTGCCCCCTGGTGGTCAGTGTGCTCCCACAGGGGGAGCACCGCTCAGCCAGAAGCCAGGCTCACTGCTGCCAAGTGTAGCTAAGGGGGCAGTTAACCAGTGGGCAGGCACAGCTGGCTCAGGCTCCTCCCTGGCTGCCTGCTGTTTGGTGCACTGCTACATCCTTTGGAGGATGTCCCACTGCCCGTTTAGGCCTGATCCTGTGTGTGTGTGTGTGTGTGTGTGTGTGTGTATAAATAAATCAGCAGCTGGACATCTCCCAGGTTGTGAGAGGGCACAGGCCAGGCTGAGGGACCCTGCACAAATCTGTGCTCCAGGCCTCTAGTAAGTTATATAAATATCTAACCACCATGCTATATACCTGAAACTAATAATATTAAATTTCCATTGTGATTGAAAAATAAAATAACTCAAAAAATAAAGTAAATGTGATGGAAAAGAAAAAAAAAAAGGGTGGGGGGCTTTAAGGACAGGGAGAATTGGGTTCAAATCCAGCCCTGACTCCTGGGTGTACCTGGGAGGCAGGCTTGAACCTATTTTTATATTTGGCCCCTGGGTTTTCTATGAAGGGAAGATCCTGGCAGTGATATGATTCAGAGCATACTTATGAATATCACGTTTTATTCCGTGTGCCTAGGAGCTTTTTTTTTTGGGGGGGGGGGGGGTTGTAACTTACTCCCTCTAAACTCAAAGCTGTGTTCAGAAACCCCTGAAGCCTCCTTATTTGGGATCTTCTCTCTGTTGTTCCCAGATGTTGTCTGGGAATAAACGGGGCCACAAGTCAACAGAGCTTCTCAGAAATGTTCTAAAGATTTTTGTCCTAAAAGTGGCCAAAAAGTTTTCCTGTAAACCAGGGGTGGGGAACCTTTTTTTTCAACCAAGGGCCAGTTGATATTTATAACATCATTCCCGGGCCATGCAAAATTACCCACTTAAAAACTAGCCTGGTGTATTTGGTCAAATATTTAATTAACTTGCCCTTAATGCCTTGGCAGGGCCAGACCAAATGATTTCAGGGGTCTTATGCGGGCCGCGTTCCCCACCCCTGCTGAACTTGAGACTCCAGCACTTGTGACTATTATTTGGGCCATTTGTGGGCTTTTTTTTTTTTTTTTTTTTTTTTTTTTTTTTTTTTTTTTTTTTTTTTTTTTTTTTTTTTTTTTTTGTCTGCTTCCTGGTTTTCAATGGTACAGTTGAGATGGTGAGGTTTGCAAGAATAAGCTGTTGCTGTAAAAAAATGCCCCAGGGAGCAAAGGAGCCTTGGAATTTAATGGAGTGATCGGGGAAAGGGTGGGGAGGCTCAGAACCCACAAGCTTAGGTGAGGAAGACCTGAGCGAGAAGGATGGCTTCTTTTCCCCAGGTTTGTGGGTGAATGTGGAATTTTAGTTGCCTGTAGGACTCAGGTTCTGTGGAGGTGGGGAAGCCAGAGCCAGATGCCTCCCTCCCTCCGTGGCAAAGTGGAGATTTGGGGGAAAGAAGCTGTTAATTAACTGTACTTTTTTCTTCCCCTAGGAACAGCTGAGAGGGGAAACGCTGCACTTACTTCTTCACCCACCTTCAGGTAGGCAGGGGAAGCAGTTTTAGAAAATTGGAAGTTAGTTTATCCTAAGGAAACTCATCTTCAAATTTTTATCGCCAAATGATGATTTTGAAAGCTCTCCCTGGAGCATGCCTGCCTTTCCCTCCCCCCATGCGTACCATTACCTTCCTCGCTCCCAAGCTCCAAGAGCCCTTCCTTTATCTCTATAACTTGGTTCCTAAGCCCATTTCTTCTAGGAATTACTTTTTCTAGCTCTGTGATTTTACAAATAAGTGTTCTCTTATTTAAAACAAAACAGAAACAATGGAACTACTTTCTCTTTCAAATGACAACAAGGTCAGAAAAACAGATTTTTAGGTACAATAATTCTTCACTCGGCATATTATAGCTGCTAATCTGGGAACTATTGGTCCCCCTCAACTCAACCCCAAATGGTGTATACTTATGAACAGGTGGATAAATGATAAATAAGTGAATTAATGAAGAAATTACACCCCCTTCCAGGCACATGGTAGGTCTTAAATCAGAAGACACTCCACAGTGTTGAATGCATAAATGAAGAAATTAAGGATTCCATTGCAGTTCTCCTTGAATGCAGAAAGAGTAACTATGACTGCGATTCTTGTTCAGTGTGCATATTTTATTCCTTCCCCATGAAGGTTAAGAATGTATGAACTTTAAGGGATGGCCCTTGAGCATTTTAACAAACAGCAGCAGCATGGGACTGTGGGCTAAGGCCAGAGGTCTGGCTGGGATCCTGAGGGTATCATTGATGGGCATTCACTCCCTCCTGACGTAGGCCCTGCTTGGTTGGAGCTCCCTCTTGGCCATTGTGTACATGACTGGTTGTCTCTGGTCTCTGCCCCTCAGTCTCAGAAGGGGTTACGTGCATTACACCCTACAAATGATTTATGTGACTTTTCTCAATTTTCTCAAGGATGGTACATAACTAGTCATGTTCTAGATGCATAGGAAGAAGTTACTTTATGAGATACAATGGATGCCTTGGGGCATTAGCACTTAATTCTCATAGAACTTCAGTTGAGAGAGGCTGGAATAGATACTTTGCCTCAATTTAAAATAGGCCTTTGTTCTGAACAGACTCTTCTCAGCAATACAGCTCCTTCCTACTCAAAACCTTGCCTAATATTTACTAGATCCTGGAAATCTTTTCTTTCTTTTTTTTTTTTTTTAATATATTTTATCGAATATTGATTTTGTACAGAGAGGAAGGGAGAGATAGAGAGTTAGAAACATCGATGAGAGAGAGTCATCGATCAGCTGCCTCTCGCACAGCCCCTGCTGGAGATATGCCTGCAACCAAGGTACATGCCCCTGACCGGAATCGAACCCGGGACCCTTCAGTCCCCAAGCCGACGCTCTATCCATTGAGCCAAACCGGTCCCGGCTCTTTCTTAAGCCTATATGTATTACAGTGAGGATCACTGAGTGAAAGAGAGGAAAGAAAATAAAGAAGGCTGCAGGTTGTGTGAGGTATTCAAATCCTAGCTCTGTTACTACCACCTGGTTCAAATGCTAGCTCTGTTACTACCACCTGGTCAAATGCTAGCTCTGTTACTACCACCTGCATACTTGGAATAACTTATGAGCTTCAGTTTACTCATTTATAAAATGAATATGAAAGAGACAAAGCTCTTAGTTCAATGACTGCTACATAGAAGGCTGTTTGCGTTATATACAGAGTGGGACAAATGTAGATTTACAGTTATTCATATGGAAAAAATACAATAATAACAATACAAGAATAAACTGTTTTTGCCTACTCACAATGACAAAGCCACTTTTGCCCCACCCTATTACGGTGTGTAACAAATCACCCCAATATTCAGTGGCTTGAAAAAAGCACCCATTGATCTCATTATTTATAATTTGGGCAGGGCTCTGCAGGGACAATTAGTCTCTACTCTACAAGGAGTAGACTGGGCTTGACTATAGCTGAAATGTCCAAGAGTCCTGGTGTCTAGAGCCTTGGTACTGTCAGTCAGCTAGGGTTGGGATGTCCTGGATGTGGCCTCTAATAATTCAGTAATCTATCCTGAAATTCTTCACATGAGAGCCAACTTGCAAAAACAAGCAGAAACTACTAGACTCCTTAAGGTCTAGAACTGTTCCAGCATCATTTCTGCTACATCCTTTTAGTCAAAGCAGGTTGCATAGTCAGCCCAGATTCATGAGGAAGAGAAATAGATGCCAACTCTTTTTAAAAAAAAAAAATGATTTTAGAAAAAGAGAGAGGAATGGAAGTAGGGAGGAGATAAGAAGGTGAGAGTGAAGGAGCAGGAGGGAGAGCAGAGAGATAGAGAAAGAAAGAAACAGAGAAACAACGATTTGTTGTTGAAAGAGGAATCTGTTCCACTTAGGCATTCATTGGTGATTCTTGTGTGTATCTTGTCTGGGGATCGAACCCATAACCTTGGAATCAGGATGATGCTCTAACCAACTGAGCTACCCAAACAGGGCAATACTAACTCTTTTTTTTTTTTTTTTAATATATATTTTATTGATTTTTCACAGAGAGGAAGGGAGAGAGATAGAGAGCTAGAAACGTCGATGAGAGAGAAACATCGACCAGTTGCCTCTTGCACACCCCCTACTGGGGATGTGCCCGCAACCCAGGTACATGCCCTTGACCGGAATCAAACCCGGGACCTTTCAGTCTGCAGGCCAACGCTCTACCACTGAGCCAAATCGGTTTCGGCAGCAATGCTAACTCTTGATAAGAAGATCACCATGCCCAACCTAGGATGGGAGGGATTGTTGCTATCTTTTGCAGATTCCATCAGAGAATGCATTTAATATGTTATTTGTTATAAGAATAAAAACAAATGTAAGCAAGAACACCTCACCTTAATTCTTTCCCTGGGGCTTAATAAGAATACACTACAATTTCTTCAGTATCTCCAAGCCCTCAAGTTTTAATGTTCTGTCCTAATTAGCTAGCTATGTATTTACGTGTCCTGCTGTCTGGCTGTGCCTTCTGTAGTTATCCAACTTGTACTGGAAAGCCCAGAGAGGAAAAGGCAAGTGATCTTCAGCATCTCTTCAGTACCTGGTACTGTATAGAGTTGAACTGAGTTCTGTCATACACTGTCTAGGAACAAGGACAATATTAGAAACCTATGTGGAAGAGAAAGTGGATATCAGAAGCAAAAGTGGATATCAGAAGAGAATGAGGAATCTGAGGTTTTTTGAAATTGCAAATAGTCTTGCTAAAGAACTCCAACTTTCTAAATGGTTTTTCTACATGGGAAGGCACAAACAGATGGACACTTATGCACTGAGGAGCCTCCCATTTATTTAGATCGGTGCAAACCAGATGCTGTACTGAAGCTCCTTAAGAACACAATCTTGGCACAGTCAGGCTTCCTGGAGGCACAGAAAAGAGAGAGTTTGTTATGCCATAACAGCCAGCAGCCAGAGCACATACAGGGTGGTATGAATTCTCTACTTACCCTGCCTCATTGCTGGGCACTGGCTGGGAGACAGGTAAAAGGACAAACAACACTAAGAAGACTAACACTAACCCAACACAATACTGACACCGAGAGGGACCCGAGGGATAGCAAGAAAACTGTGTTTGCAAGCCAACTGGCAGAGAGAGTTCTTCTGAGAAGTTTGTACTTTAATGCATCCCTAAGGGTTTTCATTTGCTATTTATCAATGATAAGCTCTTGGGATTGAATTCATTCTCAATTTTTATCAGCCAGGAGCTGCAAGTCAGCAGAGACATTGGGAACCCATTCTCTTTAATTCTCTCATGAGCTTCTCTTTCACCTCACTCATTAGTTTGTACACAACATTTCTACTGTGAATGGTTTAGAATCTGAAGGTGCTATCAAATTCTAAACAATGATCTGAGTTGCCATTTGCTTGTAATGTGCTGCTTAGAATCACATACCCATATTTTTAATTATCCTCTTGCAGGAGAAGGAATTCATAAACTTCAAAGTAAAAAAACAAGAACAACAAAAAAAACAGGCACTGGATCTGTTTTTCACCATGCTTATGATACCGAAGAGCAGCTTCCTTCTCCTTTCCCTTGCTGCCACCATGTGGTGGTGGTGACCCTTGCCCATCCTCTATTCCTGATTATTCCTTTGACATCTTTTCTTACAGCATCTGCCCACCTCCCTCCCACAGATCCCTCTGACAATTAGGCAGATGCTATCACTCTTCTTCAGAGGAGCATAAATTCCCATCATGAACTTGAGTAGTATAGATAAAGCATGTGGCAAAAATAGATCTCATCTATGATAAATTTCCTCCATGAGAATGATAGAATTGAAAGCTCAGAAATTCACATCTGCCCATGTCTCAACAACACTAGCCAGAAACATGAAACATTCAGACACCTGTTTCTCTCTCCTTACCTTCCTCAGGGGTTGTCCATGTCCTCTTAGGGAGTCTCAAAGAGGAGCTGCAAGAATTCAGACATTTTCCAATGTCAATATCTCAGAAATCTCTGGGAAACCTTCTCTCAGAGTCCTGGGAAGGGGAATGCTTCTCTGTTTTTTGGGGGAGTCCACGATGCTAATGAGTAGTTTATGCATAGAGAAGAATAGGATATGTAATTCATCCTACACACAGTTAAAGAGTGTCTGTTGTGTGTCAGAAACGGGGCTCAATGCTGGGGTGGCAGTGGAGGAGACAAAGGCAGATAAAATTGTCCACCCTCATAGTGCTCATAGTTTAAGGGGGAAACAGATCAGTAAATTGATAATTATAAAAAAGTGCTAAATGCAATGATGGAGATCTGAACAAGGTGGCAGTAGAAGAGAGGTAGAGAGATGTACAATATTTTCTTTTAGCAAACCAGCGGGCAAAGTTCTCTGGTTTGTTTAAAAGCCCAATAAACAGTTGCAGGTTTCTTGGATGGGGTCAGAAGATTGATGTGTGTGTGTGTGTGTGTGTGTGTGTGTGTGTGTGTGTGTGTATGTGTGTGTTTAAAGTGATCTGGGTGAGGACCAGGAAACTTGGGCTCTTTCCACCATAGTGCCAACTCCTCAATTAACCAACATTGGAAATCTTGAGTAATCAATCACCTCCTTGTACATTTAGTTTCTCTTTTGCAAAATTGAAATAGCAACTCTTTCTAATTGTAGAATTATATACATCCTGATGTTGACTTTGATGAAAGGGCCTGAATGGGGAAGCAAATTAAGCCCTTTTCCATCTAGGCTTGTGTCTCTGCCTCAACTTTTTTATCTGTGGAGAAAGGAAATGACTGCACCCGAAGGCATCAGTACTGCCCTTACTCATCACATCCACCCGACAGTCCACGGACGCCTCCCCTAGGGGGTTAACCGCCTTGCAGGTGTAGATGCCCCCATCAAAAGGACCAGGCTTGCGGATTTCCAGTGAGCAGATTCCCAAATAAGTGAGGGCTCTGTACTTGGGGTTGCCTTGGATATCCATGTTGTTCCTCAGCCAGATAATCTTCGGCTAGAAGATAAGGATGAGGGTGTATCAAGGGGTGGTAAGAACCAATTGTTCTTTCTGTGCTCAGTCTCTGAGACACTGCCTACAATATTTGGGGACATGCCGGCCAGAGTAGCGTTTAGGAACAGATGGTACAGGGATCTAGAAGAGATAATGGCCTCTGGGTAGTCTCTATCCCTTATATTTAGGAATGGGTTCCCCCTCCAGTATCCTCAACAGCCTCCACACTCCTTCTCTTGGTTGAAAAGAGCACCTTAAACATTGCCTTGCTCATCAAGTATTCCTGACTAAAAGAAAAGTGATCACTTCTCTTCTATCCTGCTCAAGCAGCCCCTTTATGGATCAGAAGAACTGGGTGTCAGATTTGCCTCTTCTTTGCATATACATTATTGAGTCATTCATATTCTTTCCCACTGTTGACTCGGGGATTACATTTGTCCCTCTGGTTAGAAACTAGTTTCTAAAGTTGACTTACTGGTTTTTTCTTTCTGAGGTCTTATGGCCACATAATCTGACGCAGTACTAGTACACAAAGGGTACTTGGTAAAGGCTTCTATGCCACATATGGAGTGAGTAGGTTGCAAATAGAGAACCTTGCTCAGAGTTGTGGCCAAAGGCTCAATTTTAGGCAGCTCAAATGTGCATGGCCCTGATCAGAAGAGATGCAGTGGGGGAGTAAGGAGAAACCAATGGGACTCCATGACCCCTGCCAGAGAGACACACAGCTTTGGAGCTAATTCCCAATTGCCAGCCAGTCAGAAAGTGACATCTCCATACATGAGGAACAAACACTAAAAGGAATACTGGGAATATTTTCCACATTGGCCTATTTTGGACTCCAAGTGCCCTTACTGTTCCTATGGGACCTGTTTTGGAAGAGGCAGATTGGAACAAACGTTCTGGTTGGAATGCTCTTTGATATAGCTATGGTTAGAGCAGGCACAGGAAGCAGCATGGCAAAGCCACCCATAAAACTCCCCATTCACCTTGGGAGAGGCACGGACACTGCAGAAGAGCTGGGTGTCGTAGCCGGTGACTGTAGTGCAGTTCACGAGAGGCTGGGTGAACTTTGGAGCTTCAGAGAAATCTCGCTGGGCAAACCCCTTTGTCTTGTAAACAGTAACTAGGGTGACCAAGAAAGGCCCTGATGTAGTGCCTGAGATCTCCATCCTCCTGCAAGTCTTTATCCTTCACTTCCCAGCTCAGGGTCTTTGCACCTTACCTGCTTTCTGGATGTGGGCAAGGTCGGCAGTGATGGGGGCTGTCTCACTGAGCCCACACTGGTTCTCAGCAAAGACTCGAAATACATAGGAGTTGCCGATGATAAGGTTGGAGACTGTGAAGCTGGTGCGGTGATAACGCTCCAGCACTGTGAACCACAGCTTTGGGGTCCCAAGAAGATGCCGTGAGTGAGACACCTGTTTTGTGAACTCAATCCACTTTAGCCCACCATGTGGAGCTATCAGAGCCCCATTCCAGAATATGCTATGCCTCCTTCCCCTCCTCCCTCCCCGCTGGGCCTCACCCCAGATTTTGTGTCAGCCTTCTGCACCGTGTATCCCAGGAGTTCCGCATTGCCTGTGTCTCCGGGAGGTGTCCACTCCAGGGTAGCATTGGAGTCCCAAACGTCCACCAACTTGATACTCTGAGGAGGGCCTGGCCTCTCTGAAAGGGCCAAGCATGGCACAGGGCATGGTACAACTCGCATGCGTGGAAATGGCTTCAGGAGTGCCCCTTCTCCTCTGCTCAGCTACTCCTCCCTCCATCTACTTGTGTCCCACACTCAGCGTGTCCCCAGCTCTCTATGATGCCTGGAGAGGGAGCCCCTGAGGACCACCCCATCTGGTGCTCTCCCCAACGTACCGATCACCAAGAGGTCAATGGTGGCAGTGGCCTCTAGCCCGCCCAGCTGCACACTGAGCTGGTAGCGACCTGAGTCAGCACGTTGGGCTTCTCGGATGAAGAGGATGGAGTCCTGCTCCCCATTCCGCACACTCACACGACTGGCATCCAAGGCACAGCTGTTATGTGTCCAGGTGGCTCGAGGTTTGGGTTTGCCCTGAGAAATAGGGATAAGGCTGTGAGCAGCCCCAGGAGGCCTCTTGGCCCTCCCCCCAGTTCCACATGGTGACTTGATTTGCAGCTATAAATTCCTTGAGTTAGAGATTGGTGGGCTCTCCCAGGAGACTTCCGTCTTTCAGCAACAGCCTAAGGATCATGGGAAAAAGGGGAGCTTTGAGTCTCCCACCCTCTGTGAGTTTAGGTCATGGACATGCAGGGCAGCTGGGACTAACAATAGCTGCCCAAACTCCCACGAGCCCTCCCAGCTGAGAGCTCCTAGACCTCTGCAGACCAAAGGACTTGGATTAGACTCACCTCATCACATGGGGCCCAACCCATCCCACCCCCAGGAGTGCAGATGGAAGGCCCATTTGGCCTCAGACTTCTGGTGATATGGCTCCCTTCATTCAAGACCAGGGCAACTGCCCTACTGCTAGTAGGACTCTTGGTATCTGTTTCCAAATCAGCCATGGACCCCGCGTGGGGCTGGGGTATGATCACCTGGAATGGAATTCGTAGGTTCACAGTGTCCCCAACCTTGCGGATGTAGGTCTGCCTCAGCGCCCGAGGTAACCAGATCTTAGGTTGCTCTGAGTGATGGAAAGAGAGAATGGGGTGGTGAGCCTCTTCTGGTGGGAAGAGTGGTGCTCAGAGGGAGTGGGTACTGCCTTCAGCTGTGCTCCATGGGTAGGTGACCCAGGCTTAGCAAATTAAGTTCTCGCATAGGGAATGGGAAGATTGCTCCTATCATCTTGCTGGGGTGTAGGGACAAACAACTGGCTAAAGGATCCTCTAGAGCAGTGTTTCCCAAACTTTTGATAGCACGGTGCAGTGCATACCTCCACCAAACTCTGGTGCAACGTTTACTGCCACCAATCTCTTCCCATACCCCTGGGGGTACGCATACCACACTTTGGGAAACACTGCTGTAGAGCCGTGGTCGGCAAATTGCAGCTCGCAAGCCACAATCGGCTCTTTGGCCCCTTCAGTGTGGCTCTTCCACAAAATACCAGAGCCTGGATAAGAAGTGGCATTAGAAGAAGTTTAAGTTAAAAAAATTTGGCTCTCAAATGTCAACTGTTGTACTGTTGATATTTGGCTCTGTGACTAAGGAGTTTGCCGACCACTGCTCTAGAGAGCGCCAGTCTTGGCAGCAAGAGCCCCTGAGTGGAACCTGATGCTTCTGTTAATTTATAACTAGCAACTCCTGACTTTCCATCAACTAAGATTTCTTTTTTCTGTCTGTGTACAGACAAGTCCAGTCTGTGTGGTTTGTCTTTCCACCCTTTTGCTACATTTATCCTTAACAGCACTCCTTTTGTCAAGGCCACTTTCAATGTTAATCCTGACCTCCAAGTGTCAGCCCTGCCCCCCAGGTTGGTGCCAGACCCGAGGAGAAAGCTTTCCCTTCCTGAGGCAAAGGCAGCTCCCTAGACCCACTCAGACAGCACTGGTGTCATTGCACAGGTTGCTAGCGTCTGGGTGCAGTCCTCTGCATGGATGCCCGGCTCAGTGCCTGCACAGTGATCTTCCACAGTGTGGAGGATCACTTTGTACAAACAGAATCTGGGACATACTAGATCCACTGCTTACTTACCCTTGGTCTCCCAGTGAAAAGAGAGATTAGATCATGTTTATTGGCTTCTAGAATGAAGACAGGAGATGCTCAGGAAAGTGCTGAGTGTAAGGTTTGGAAAATGACCAGGTGTAATTTCTCTCCTTGGCCTCAGGCTGCCTTGACTGAGAAAATGCAAACATCCCACCTGTGTTCCCTTGGGGGCCCAGCTAAGACAGACACCATTTTCCAGCCTTTTGGGGGCTCCTGTCTCCTCCTTTTCCAGGCACATATAGTCCCCCTGCTGCTATCCTCTTAAATGGAATGTGGCAGTGCCTCAGTTTCCACCAACTTCCCAGCCTCCCCTAACGATTCATTCCTAGCAGTTGGACATTCACTCCGGCACCCTAGCCTACCCTTCCACACACATAGCACAATTGGGATTCCAAATTCTTTATAATACTTATTTCTCTATTAATACATTCCTAAGCATTCACCCCAATGTACATTTACCTATAAATTGAACTGTTTAAATATATACATTATATACTGCAAAATTTAAAATAAAATAGTGGTTCTGCTCTGTTCTTTCTACCCCTCAATCTTTAAATTTTTAAAAAAATATATTTTATTGATTTTTCACAGAGAGGAAGAGAGAAGGATAGAGAGTTAGAAATATCGATGAGAGAGAATCATCGATCAGCTGCCTCTTGCACACCCCCTACTGGGGATGTGCCCACAACCAAGGTACATGCCCTTGACCAGAATCGAACCCAGGACCTTTCAGTCCCCAGGCCGCCGCTCTATCCACTGAGCCAAACTGGTCCCAGCTACCCCTCAATCTTTAGATCGTTGTCTAGAGACCAACAATTTCACTCCCACAGTTCCCCCCATTACGATCTCAAGATCATCTGGCCTTTGTAAACGAACATAACCACAGACATTCAGCACGCGCTGTCCATTTTATTTACCTAGTTTCCTTTTCTGCTGTGTGCCTTATGTTTTCACTTGGGTTGTGCTGTCTCAGACTGCATTTCACTCCTGCAGGAACAAAGGGGGTCAGGGCCTCCAGTGCTCTGAGTACCCGTTCCCTGAGCTGCTCAGGGTCTGCTAGCCTCAGTAGGAATAGGACAGCCTCAGAGCCCAAGCAGCTGAATGACCCTGCTCTGCTTGCCCTCTGTTTGACTTTGACGGTTTGGGAGGGGGTGGAGCATGAAGAACAGAAGAAGTGTTTGTGCGATCTGTTACTCTCCTGGGGCCATCTTGGCAAGCCACCAAGGAGTTGAGAACAGGCGGATATGACTTAAGGGTTTTCTGAAAAAAGAGGGCAGCAATTGAAAAAGAAGGTTCAAAACCTCATCTTGTTGGGCTTGGTTCCCCACTGTTGAGTAGGGAAATCACCCTTCACACTTGCTGGGGAGAGGGCTGGAGAGGAGCCTCCAGAATGTCTGTGTTATGAAAAGCCTAGCTGAGCACAAGGAGCAGACTGGAAGGAAAGGGCTTGGAGACAGAAACAGATTTGCTGAGAGTATCATGTCTAGTCGGGAAGTTATGCTGGACTGGGATTCCTGCTTCTCCATCTGACATGGCAAACCTCTCCACACTTCTGTCCTCCAGCGTCCACCTGAGACTGAGCACCAAAGTCAAGGCTCTGACTGTGATCTTGCCCTTGGAGGGAGGTGGCAAATAAGGGACACCCTCAATAATTGAAAAGGTTGAGACAAGAAAAAAAAACCCAAGCTGTCAGGCCTAGAAGATGTGCTTGCTGAGCTCTGCTCTGCTCAGACTTCAGGGAAGAAACAGGCTTCTGTAGATGGGCGCGTGCTCATGTATCTGTTCCCACGGGTGTTTCTTAAAAAAATACCTTGGTAAGTGTTAGCTTAGTTTCACTGGAAATACAGAGAAACATTAAAGCAATGGGTTTATGTGTGGCACATAAGCTAAGACGGGAATTAGGAGGAGGAGGAGCAGAATGGCCCTGAGATCCAGAGGGGATCCCAACAGGGGCAGAGAGAGAAGAAAGGCTGTCAGCCAGGATGGTGGTCTTCTCCTCCCCACAGGTCTCCTGTGAAGTTCTTTGCCTATAAGTGAGACTCCCTGACACAATGATAAGTAGACAGGGGACAAACTGAAGTTACTAGAATGCTCCAACTGAGGTTCAGTAGGAGAGAATGTGGCTTTCAGCAGGCTCCCAGGTCCCCATTGCAGGGCAAAGGATGGCTAAAGCAGCTGACAGAGTGTGGGAGGTGGCAGAAGAGTGTTTGACAGCTCCAGGTGCCTGGGCAGCAAGCAACAGGCACTTCCCCAGCTCAACCCAGCCTTCTTGTCTTCCCTGCAAACAAGAGCAATCTGACCCTTTGCTGAGAATGTTAATAGGAGGGCTTATTCAGGGCATCTCTCTTCACACCTCCATAGCCCAGTGAGGTGTGAATTGTACTGACCTTGAGGAAACATGGCTTTCTCCTCCTCAGATGCCAGGAGGGATGTGAACCAAAGACTAGAGCCCTAAAACAGAAGCGAGGTTTTCTGAGGTTTTCTAAGATGAGATGTGAGACAGCCACAGTTTGGTTTCCTCCCTTTATAGAATTTTGGGGGAAAGACATTTTGAAAGTCCTTTGAGAGCCATTGGCTCTGAGCTGTGTCTTTCTCAGTGCTGTGTTTCTCTCAGACAGGACGTTATCTAATTCTTTTCTTAGAAATTAGTAGTGAAGACCATCTAAAGTCTAAAAATCTTGACTCTTCTTGATTAGAAAATTCCTTCTAGTTCACCCTAATTTCATCCCACTGAAGTTGATGTCCATTTCCTTATTCTTTGCTCATGGGAAAATTTGTTCATATCCTCTCATAATTTCCTTTCACATGGTTAAAAAAATTTTCCCCCAGCAGTTCCCTAAGGGCTGTGTAGTCCAAATTGATGTTGTGAATTATGGCCTGGAGAGCGAAGAAACAAGATGGACACATTTGCAGAGTGAAGGGGGTATGTGCCTGTGTGTGTGTGTGTGTGTGTGTGTGTGTGTGTGTGTGTGTTGAGTGTGTGTGTCAGTGAATGGTTACCAGAAGATGGCGAATGCACAAGATGAACCGTGGCTTTGAAACATAACCAGAGATTTTCAGGGATCCCAAAAGTACCAGCATTTCTTAGAGAAACATTAGCAGATGCTTAGAATGTGGCCTTGGACTTATCAGAAACCTGTCTGGAGGAGTGTGATGGGAAAGGCATATGTGACCTCAGGGACATCTTGTAAAGGACAAGACCATGAAATTAAGGTCAGAAAAAAAATAAAAGGACATAGACATAGGCAACACTTTTCTGAGACTTGTTTAGAGATCTCAGGCACTACACTCCTCCCTGCGGTAGTCTTCCTCTCTGCTGGTGGCTTTCGCCCTGGCTCACTGTTATTCTCTCCAGCGCTGCTTCAGTCCTGATTCCCGGTGATTTCCACAGCCATCTTTCCAACCGGGCCTTACACCACGTCTGCTACTCCTCCAGGAATTTTGTCCTCCCCTGCTTTACCTTTGTTCCTTGGTCATTGTCTAGATCAGTAACTACAGCCCCTCTACAATCTGAATTTCAAACATCCCATTCTCTCATCCCTACCTCTGTGACAGATTTATATGATCTCTTCCACAGTATCATGATCTCTGAGAAGGGGCTGCCCCTTGCCAGTGATATGTGAGTAAAACTGATGAGAATCACTCCTGAACCATGGCTTTTAAGAAATTAGTACCCTATTTCTCCTTCCACCTCTGGTCAGCTCAGCTAGGCTCAGGTGAGCAGCACGGAGCTGTCGGCAGAGGGGGTGAGAATCAGGGACTGGAAGGGGTACCCACCACCTCCTAGCTCAAAAATGCCTCTTTGCCAAGAGGCTCAGGGAGACCACCATGGAGAAGAAGTCACATGCTTCTCCCAGGAGGGCTCTGCTTCCATGGGGCTCAGATTCTGAGAAGTGGGGTTTCCTATGGGAGCCAGAGGGGGTGAGGCTCTGGACTCACAGCACTGCCCAGGGAAAGGCAGAGTGTCATGGATTATTCACTACTTAGTCTTCCAGTCACTATAGCTTTTTCATTTCCCTCTTTTAAGTCACGATCTCACCCTCATTCCCTTTCTGACTGGCATTAGTATAGCAGGTCCTCCTAGTCCCCGTGATAGATATTTCTTAAAGGTAAAAGCATTAGCAGATTATTAGTCATTGTTAAGTGCCTCACACACCATTTATCAAATTCTCAGCTAAAAAAATCAAACACCCAGCAGAGACATATGAATATCAAGTCAGAGTCCACCAAGGAAGGGGGTGCAGAGCTCCAACCAATGCTCCTCTGTCCTAAGTCCCCATCCCTTGAGATCATCAGCTCTGCATAAACCTAAGGAGGTGCCATCAGGGAGTCGGAATATCCTCCCATCTCCCACCACCCTCCCTAACCCCACGGTCACCTTCTAGAGGGGCCAGGAGCTGAGGAATAGGGCTGCTGGCCCCCTGTCGAGGTGAAGTCTGGGGTTCTTTCGCATCTGCTGGGCTGGCTTCTTTCACCTTCAGAGTGGGTCCTGGGGCCACCTCCGGTGCCGTGACTGCCTCCATGCTGGGCCACCCAAGGCTGGGCTCCAGCGGCAGATTTTCACTGTTGGTGCTGAGGGAGGAGCGAGCACCTGCTTTTCAGCCTCTCCAGGGCTTCTCCCCACCCCGCTACTCCCAGAAGAAGGGCTGAAGCAGGGCTGGGGGAAGAAAGGGAGATCAGACAACAGCCCAGAATAGCCACAGGAGGAGGGTTGAGGTGGCCCTGTTATCTTGGGAGTGAGATGACACCCCTCATGCAGCACCGGGGAGGGAGGAGAGAGCTTGAACTTCAGATAGCTCCCCCTTCTTCCCCATGCAAAGACCATCCAGACAGGGCCAATGGCTCCTGTGGGATTGGGTGACATCTTGACTCCTGACCTCCAGCTCATCCGACATGGAGTTCAGGTCCAAAGAAAGGGGCCCCAGAATTAGCTTAGTGATAGTCATACCTTGAACTGCTCTTTCTCTCTCTACTCCTATATTCAATGAGGTGTAAATTTTTAACTTGATTTTTTAAAAATATATTTTATTGATTTTTAACAGAGAGAAAGGGAGATAGCTAGAAACGTCAATGAGAGAGAAACATCAATTAGCTGCCTCTTGCACACCCCCCAACAGGAGTGGGAGCTTGAACCCCCAACCCAGGTGTGTGTCCTTGACCAGGAATTGAACCCACCACCCTTCAGTGTGCCTTCAGGTGCGTGGGCAAGGGCTTGTCAACTTGACCTTTAAGGGTATGTCCGCATTCTCTCCCCATCCCCCTACTGACAGTGGAAGTTAGTCTGCACTCTGGAGCCAGACTACTAGGGCTCATGTTGGCGCCATCACCAACTAGTTGTGTGACTTGCGACACATCACAGTCTGTCTTAGTTGTTTCCTCATCTGAAAAGTAGATATGATAGTAACCATAGGGTTGCTGTGAGGATTAAGAGGCAATCTGTGTAAAGTGCTTAGCAGAGTACAGCTGACTAAGTGCTCGATAAATGAGCTATTTTTAGGTCAGGGCACTTGCCCCTTTGAAAGCTCCCTCGTCTGGGAGATAAAGTACAAAGTGAGGGGCAGCAGGGGTGGGAGGAGAGCCAGGGGCATAAGGTCAGAAGACTTGAGTGTGACTTTTGGTTATGCCGCTCACTCATCAGCTAGGTGACTCTGAGCCAATCACTGACTCTGATCTACGGGTCTTTGGTCTATGAAACAAAAATAATGAGGCTAGGGTTGGGTTGAGGATAAAGTGATTAAAAATGTAGGGAAGTGGCCAACCCACAGTAGGTATCAAGTTACATACTAAAGATCCTATGATTTCCAGTTTTACCAAACCATCATCCTATATCTATATATTCCATCCAAATGATCTGGTTTCCCGTTGTGCTCTTTATTCCCAGAAGCCAGACCGTGTATCCCCTTGGTATATACATCTCTATTTCTATATAGACTTTATTTTTAGAGCAGGTTTAGGTTCACCGCAAAGTGGAAATATGGAGTTCCCATATACCCCTCTCTACTAGGTCCTTATTTTTTTAAGGAAAAATGAGTGTGGTTGAATGACTAGGCTCCTTACTCATGATTACCTTTTAGCTCTCAATTTGGGGGCAGTCAGTAGGATCCCAATAGTCTGTGTTAGTCTTGGGGTGTGAGACAGAATCCCTCTTTGCGAATTATATAGGGGCTCAGGACCAGGACACACTGTACACACACTTTGGGGTGCAGGAACCTGTTTATCATGTTGGGGGGGGGGGAAAGGGGGGGTCAGCAGGAACCTCTCCTAAAAGAAATATTTTGGATGAGAAGGGGCAACTCTTTGAAAGGCCTTAAATGAAATGGATCAGGAAGAACTTTGAATAAGAGCAGCAGGAGAAATGTATGAGGGGCACATGGAAAGATACCAAAGTTAAACTTCAGTGTTGTCATTTGTCAAACCTGCTATAAGGAACATATAATTCAGGAGAGTAATTGTATGTTTCTGTGTCCAGAGGAAGAATATAACAATTGAAACCGGAGAAGGTGTGCGGGGTGGGTCAGTTAGACTTTCTGGGGGAAAAGATGAAGTAAAAAAGGAGGTAGTTTCCCTCATAAATTATCTTAATACCTTTCATGCTATAAATGCACAGTTCCTGGCACTTTAATTGGCTTATGTGCTGGTTTGGTTTGATTGCTGAACCTAGAATCTGGAAAAGCTATCACAGTAACAAATTGTAGTTTAGTCATTTCAGTAGATCAGGTAACAAAGTCCCAGTCTGTTTTATTTCTAACCCAAATATTGCAAATATACAGAAAATTACCAGTACAAAGTTAAACACACCCAGATTTATTTACACAATGCTAAAGAAATTTGAGTTTTGTTTCCATTTTGTGGAATTTTATTATGGGGTCTGGCTTTGTTGTGTAAATGACATGGGTTGTTGAGACTTGATTATCCCACCTCACATGCAATTTTCTGTTCCAAGGAACAGAAGACTGGTTTGTTTTTAGCGCACATGCAGTAATGATCTTAATAACTGCTTTACACTTTAGTAGGAAGGCAGCTCTCCCCTAGTCTGGGGAAGAGGCAGAGATAAAGAACAAGAGGGACTACATGCACAGAAAGGGAGGAAGAGACAAGAGGGGGTTGAACAACAGGCACATGGGAACCCTGAGCATTTCTGTGCACGAGGATTAGGAGGAGGGTACGACTAAACCCTCTTCCCTAGATGTCCAAACACAGGAGGTGGGCAGACTATCAGGGAACATTCCGTCACCTGACCACAAACGGAGGGCATGCAGAAGAGAACTGCAGTAGAACCTGGGACACATCAATAAATCATTAGCATGTACACTATACAGTTTATACATGTATATATGTACATATATATATAAAGGTACAGATTAGTGTGTTATTTTCTATAAACAAGAACACTTAAGAATGCACTGGTGTGAAAAAATGCATACAGCAAGTTGAAGACAATTTCAAATTCATGTTCCGATTCTTATTATATTGTGATGTAACCAGAAAATCAACATGCTGCTGCGATTTCAATCACCCTTCATGAGGGTGAGGCCTGGGCTCTGCTGGGCAGGATGGTGCTCCCAGAGCCTCCTGAGCTGGGCAAACGGTGGCAGATGGGACAGAAAGCCTGGCACCTGCTGACTGCCAGGGCTGAAAGTCTGGCCCTTCCCATCACTCCATCATGTGGCAAATCTGAACTTTGGTTTTGTTCAAGGGACATTAGTCTATGCTTATTTTCCTGCTTGAGAGAAGGTAGTAGCAAAGTTGAAAAGCTGAATCTCTTCCTATTTGAGTAGTTCCAAGTCTCCTGGCTTCAAGTGGGATGAGGGAACTGTACAGACAATTAGGAGGATGAGTTCTGAGCCAATGTACATAGGGGCAGGCTCTTCAGAGCTCTCCTAAAAGGGGAGAGAATCTACCTGGATGATTTTCCTGGAAAATAAAGAACTGACTAAAGGCAGGCCAGCCCTGCACCTGGGTTGGGTCTGGACAAGCCAACACTCCTCTCTGTATCCCTGGTATCGTGACAAAGGCCTCGAGAGAACCAGCAGGAGCTGGAGATGGCCAGTGAATTACTAAAATGTCAGGGGTGAAAAGCCAGCTTGGGCATGTAGAGGCCCAGAGGCAGATCTGGCAGGTTCTATGTGATAACTAACCTATTGAGTCTCCTGAGCCCAACCTAGAACAGCCACACCCTCTACACACTTTATTCTTCTAAGTGTGTTTCCGTCCAAATGTCAGCCCAGGTGTATGCATCCCTGGTCTCTGGTCTCACTGGAAACCAGAAGCCCCCTCAGGTCTAAGATACCTGACCACAGAGCAGGAGAGATGGCAAGTTCTCCACCTGGATTTAAGAGCCCAGACCCACTTTGGATGGTCTGATATGTCCAATCTCTCTTATGATGCTAAATTTTATTGCTGAAGCCACTAGAAATCATCTCTTCTGCTACTATCAAGCCCGGGACATTCTACAATGATATGCTATACTTGACTTTCAAAGATAATGCTCCTAACCCAACATCAGTAGGACAAATTAGAGATCTGTTTTTCTTAGATGCAGTCATGGATTTAGGCTGTTTTGATCACTGGCTGAGGACATATACTTGTGAGTGAGCAGGCTGATGTAGAACACTAACTAGCTGATAAAGGGAATACACCAGGCTTCTTAGCAGTCCTCAAACCAACTGAGCCAGCTAGCCAGCTAGGGATGGGAAATGAGGAGAATGGAGAAAGTGACTCACAGCGGAGAGTTCATTCTTGCACTCTTGATGAGATGAGAAGCAGTTTCTAAACATACTACTATAAAAGCTACCATTGTTTTTAGCCAGGAAAAACAGAATAAAATTTTTATCAAGGTGGCAAAAGGGCACTAAACACTGCTCTGAAAGAAATGACACTGATTCCTGCCCCACAGAACAGCCAGTCTGCAAGGAAGAAGAGCCTGTTCAGGGAGGCAGACCTGCACACACACAAGTTCCAGAGTTCATGTTCCAGCCCACATTGCTTGTGATACATGGGGGCCCCGGACAGTTAATTCAGTTTTTGTACCTCAGCTCTATCTCCTAAAGGTGGTAATTACAACCCTGTCTTTTCTTTATTTCACAAGAATGTTGAGGTTCAGATGACATATTGCAAGTGAAGCTGCTCTGAAAACTGTTAATTTCTATAGGCATCCCAGGTAAGCAAAGAGCCTTACTCATATGCTTAGAGAAGAATATTAACTTTCCTATATCTTAAAGCTGATTAGCGAATCACCACATCTCAGCACATCTACCCCAGTGAGTATATGCTAGGAGGAAAGGTGTAGGTGAAGTAGATCTTTCCTGGACATCAAATTTACTTTGGCAGGCCCAGCTCAGTGGCTGAGCATCGCCCCATGAACCAGGAGGTCAGAGTTTGATTCCTGTTCAGAACACGTGCTGGGGTTGTGGGCTCGATCTCCATTAGGGGCATGCAGGAGGCGGTTAGTTATCACATAGAACCTCTCATTCATGTTTCTATCCCTCTATCCCCCTTTCTCTCTGGGAAAAAAAAGTTAAAAAATTCACTTTGGGCAGGAGGTGAGGATGTCTGGGACAAAGGCTGACACTGTATCCTTTGTGAACTGGTTTATCTTTGGAATTATTTTAAATTTAAAAACCTGCAAAATGAACAAGCTTTTCCTAAAAGATGAGTGCTCTCTGGCTCTAACAAATATTAAATCTCTTCACAAAAACGCTTTACCTAACGTTATTTTCTAACTGAAGCTCACTGACTCATTTTATTTTATGCAGTTTCCAAGTCTCTACAATTCTCTGTCCACTCCCTCCCCCACTTTCCCTGCTGCTGTTATTCCATTCTGGTGAGGAGAGAACTTTAGCCATCTGCTCACACATTCTGACAAAAGTTAATTTGGCACATTTACTTTTTATGGACTTTCTGGCCATAAAATGACCTAGCAGCAAAATGGCAGTTACCAGAGAATGTCCCAATCATATTTATTGGGAGAAACCGTGACCAGCACAGC